ACTCTTTTTTACTATTAGTAACTTTTTGTCACTATTTCAAATTAAAATTATATTCTATATACAGCAACTCTTGAGCTTCAACTGATCATAATTTGTATTAGCTTTTGGGACCAGTGGAATTATTTTGGTTTTCTGCATAAAATTTTTTTCTACATTTTCACTTATACAAAAAATTGCGCATTTTCACTCTTCCTAGTCACAATGTAGAAACTTGCATAATTTAAAATATTTTCTTTACATGTGCACATTTCCAAATGTGCTGTAACTATGTGATCAATGTGAGTTTGACTACTTGAATTATCACCAAAATACATTATCACCTGTGGATTTACACTATATTGTGTTTTATTTTTTGTTTCCTTTATATCTACTGATATACATCTGAGATTTAACCCTATTTTAGGGTAAGTTTATACCTTTAGCGCTCCACTCATTTGATTAGTAGAGTATGGACGTTATATCCAGATTGTACTAAGCTCACTTTGGTTCATTACTATAATTAGTGGGGATAAGAGAGTATCCACTAGAGTGTGTAGCTGCTTATTTTTAACTCAATTCCATTTGTAAGCGCACTATACACAGTAATCACCAATCTGTATATATATATGTGTATATATGAACATTTGGAATGTAGGACCTAGGCAAAGTCATGCCCCTTGGTTGTCCTGGGCCCCATACAGCTGCATGGTGGCCATGGCTATTCTAATTGTAGCCAAGGTATGGTAAAGTAAACCAAAGAAAAAAGTTTTCAGTTTTTTCTCTTTTTTTATTTACTCTGAATTATGTTTTATATACATATATTGCATCTAAATAATAGATATGTGCAATTTGAAAATAATTACATAATATGTATGGTTTTGCTTAATAAAAAAAGAGGGAAATTACAGTTGAAAATCTACTTCATGAAATACTGAAATTGCTGCAGTCCTAAAGATTTAAAAGGTATAGTTTTGAATATTTATTTAATGAATTACCTTTACAATATTTTTAAAACAATTAGATATCCCCAACTTTAAAGATTAATCTTAGGACAATCTGGCTTTCATGTATATTCTTCATGTGTGCATCCCACAGTGTATTACACAATATAGTAGTATTACAGTGTGACACACACAATAAAATACAATAGGAAGTTCTCAGAACACCTTAGTGAGTTTCCCTTTCACCTCACAACAAATTCAAATACATACAATATAAGGTGGAGACTCTTCTTATTATAACAGGTAATCAATAGTAGGTAGTCCTAAAAGCGGAAATAAAACACATAATAGTGCAATATTGCCTGTAAGAAATGAAAGTATAATGAGGTAGATGGAATATCACTCACAAATAAAGAGCCTCTAGATAGGCCTCAATTATCCAGTATTGTGGGAGATAAGGTTCCCACTGCCTTCTTTATATTGCTAGTCGCCAAATATGCTCTCAGGGACAGGTATGTTGTTCCAAAAGTGCTTTATTATAAAGTGCACAAGAGTAGTAAAAAAATAAATAAAAAAATGTATAAAAGTAACACGACTACAGGATTGAAGGTAATTGATGGGGTGAGTCCTTATTTATGATGGCTGTTTACCTTTATGCATTTGAACTTCTGTTTGCCAAATATATTTAACTATGGCAACAATAAGCATGAACTAAGTGAATATTCACTATGTTCTCTTTCTCTATGAACAACTAAGCATTGTTAAGCACATGTACACATATTAAATAAGTCAGCAGACTTGTTTTCCCAGAGTTTCCCTGGCATACAGTGCTCCCTCTGTAGCTAATGACTAAGGGGAGTGATATAAAACTCACATTGTTTTACTCTTTTCCTATATGTGCAATGTACATGCAACTTTGGAGAAATGAGGTGCCATAAAACCCACATATGTATTATGTCTTTATTTGAATACCAGTACAATGTTGGCTTCTGGTAAACTTCAGTAAGAAGCTTAAATGGTTTGTGGAACATATACAATATTATCACATATAGGCCCATATTTAATAAGATTTCCAAATGATTCAATACTGTTAGAAACATTTTTAAGCGATTTAGCAACAGAAATCACCATTAAAATCTCTAGGAATTTTTGTAGACAAATCATTTAGAACATTTTTCTAACACTATTGAATCATTTAGAAAGCTTCTTAAATAAAGGCCTTGGCCCTGATTTAATATTTTTTTGGATAAGCTTTTATTTACTTAATTACTGATTTATTAATAAATGTTTACATTGACTTAATGTTATAAATTACTATGAATGAATTAAAAATTCATTTGGAATATTTTTACATTTCTTGATTCATTGATAAATGTTTTATATATTTTTTATATTCTAATATGTTGAAGAAATTATTTAAAAAGTTTATTGAAATAAATTAAATCATTTGAAAAGCTTATCCAACAATATTAAATGAAAGCCATAGTGCATAAAAATACTAAACCCTATCACAAAGGTTCTAAATGAAATCTCGAGCGATGCTGCGTACAGTGTGGGATCTTGAAGAAGGTTGTTCAATTGAAGGAAGTGAGCTGTAGTGATTTAATTTATGTTAGTGATATTGTGTATACTTTGACCTCTATATCAAATTTAATTCCCACAAATACATCGAAAACAAATATACAGGCACACTAGTGGGATAATGTTACTGATAAACTGGACAGAGTAATATGGATTTAAAAACACATTTCCAAATCAATCTGTTTTGTACCAAACAGAGAGTAATATTTGTTTGGTGAAATTAATGAGTCAGCTGACTATACTCGAGTTTAGGGAATATCTGACATATTAAGACACAGTTGTTGACACTTAACAACCATACTGAGAGTGCTAATGACTTTTGTCACCTACAGAGACTACAGGTCAGAAATGACAAATGGTTTACACACGTTGCTAAGAGAACAATGACAGATGACTAGAACAACCATTTTTAGTTTATTTTTGCAGTGTTTGGCCCGCTGGCAATCTTTATCCCATACTGCATTTGAACTTATATTATACCTGAAGAATGACCTGCTGACCCTATAAATTTACATTAGTAATGTAACTAATTGACCTGTAAAGGCCCTAGATACTTGTTAATTTAAGACGATACATTATTTTATTTTTTTCCAATTTCTCCATCTATGCTGTTTGGCTTAGCAGTAAAGGAAAAAAAACACGATGTTCAGGGGTGCCTGCATTTCTATGTCTGGTATATGCAAATGTTATGAGCAAAGTATTTTCACAATAAATAAACTGGAATAATATACATTAAATTCAACATTCCATCAATAATAGATAAACAGATCACAGTTGGTAACAATGAACAGCTTTGCAATAATATGAATTATTAAAAATGTTTGAACAGGAGAGCAGCTCTGAGGAAGCCTTGGCACTAGAAAAGTAAGTAAATCATTTTTTTGAATTTTCTTTTTTTTTATGGCATACGTGGGGACACCTTAATACCACTAGAGATAGGGGCAATGCAACCTTGGTGCAGTATGTATTCCTAATGTTCTAGTGTTCCTTTAAGTGCACTTTATAAAAGTGCTTATTTCTATGTGAAATTGGAACTTTCTTAACTCTATTAGGAAATGGTTCTCTGGCTGTCAATCAAACAGCTGGGATAGTTATCATCTTCTCCAGAGCTAATATAAGTTGCAGTCTTTGTGAGCATGCATGTACCTCTGTGCTCATGTCCACAGGGCTCCATTTTTACCTGGTCATCACTGGTTGCATCCTTCTCAGTTCATGCATCTCCTGCATCTCACACCTTGCTTGTGCATGCACTCGCAGTTTAGAATTAGAAGCCTCTGATTCTTCATTTCCCTGGCACACGCTGAAAGCCTGTGCTGGGAAAAGAGGGGAGCCATTATAAAGGCTGAAAACAGAATATCTGCAGCTATAGCAAAGTTTTTTTAGTTTTTGTTTTTAAATATGCCCCAAATGAAAATATGCAACAATAAATGCATGCATGTTTTCATTGAGGGGGATATAAAAAAATTTGAAATTTTAGAGTTGCTTTAATTTCATTATTAATCTTCCTTTTTATTAATTTTACTGAAGGAACAAATATGCAAATCTGTTTCTCTGCAGTATTAAGAATCTTATAATTTTTACACTTTGAGGTCACATATCCACCTTCAAGGATAATGGAAAACGTTCCAGAAAAAGAACTATGATCAAAGCTGTTGTTAATGAGGTTACATCCCATAATTTGCACACCAGCTGTGATTTTTGTATTCTGCCTCTTGCTCTCACTGAACAATTTAACATTTTCAATGCACAGTGATGAATGTATATTCAATAATCGTGTATATTTATATATTAGCGTGTCTGTGGTGAGTGTGTTACAAATAGAGTGTCAAAGCGCTTGCTGCACTGCTTCACGCAATTTAACTCTTTAATTCCCAGATAAAAACATAAATCGGTTTTGTTTTTTCATGTCTGCCCTTCCAAGTTCAGAGGGAAAAAATGCCACCCTACTAAGAATCTAAGCTCCATCAAATTAAAGGTAATACATTGCCTGACCTTGCTGGACTTTATCTCCATCTCTGAGAGAAACTTTGGACTGGAGATTTGTCCACAATTATTTTCGCTAAGAACATTTTACTGGATAATGCCCAAGTAAAAAACAAAGTGCTGGCCAAAAGGAGTGTGGATCTTCATTAGTTGCAAAGGTCAGTTCTGCAGCTAATGAAAAGTACGTTTTCAGGAAATAAATATTTGTACAAATTTTTGTAATTGCATTTTTTTGCAAAAATTAATTACATACATTAAAAATATATGCATCTTTGGACACAGAGTTTTACTTTAAGTTTATTCTTTAACATCCAACTAGTCCACAATAGATTTGCTTTCATTCTAAGCTTTCACACTCATAAGGAGTACAGTGGGAGGTAATATTAAAAAATAAAATAAACCTGGAACCAAGGGCATTTGTCTCAAACTGCAGTTTAATTAGCCCTAATGAATCCAAACCTGCTTATATATTTTGATATGCATTCTTCTGCTGGTATACTTGGTACCTGTCTGTGTTCCCTTGTTTATGATATTCAGATTGTATCATTTTGTTGCTGTTGTTTTTGACATGTAACCTGTCACCTTGGATGATATTTAAGGGTTGGTAAGTCATAGTGCCTGTTTTGATTTTCTCTTTTTTCGAAATAAAAAAATGAAATAAAATATTACCAGTTGCTTTTCTTTGAGCTCAGTTAGACTTGGCCGTTTTCGTTTTGGCTCAGTCTTCTAGCTTTTTCTTGCTCTTGATATGCTGTTCCATCTGAGTTCAATAATACCATGTCTAGTCTCCCTAGTTTACATATATTGCTCTTACAAGAAGCCAATTTTAAAACAGAAAATGTAAAGCAAAGGCTTTGAAGATGCTCTATAGCCAACTTTTCACCCATATATCTATACCAGCCTTAAGGTAACATTTAAACCTAGTTGGATTAATCATATAAATCATCTATGTCAACTATAGGGATCATCTATGTCAACCATATATTTATGATGTTGAAAACCTGTGCATCTGAATTGGCCAAACTATTATTCATTGTTTCAATATACCTTAATTATGCTAAATAAACCTATAAAGTGACTACATCAAGAGTTATTAAAACGGTGGCAAGTTTAGCTGGAATTAGTTGATAATGGAATTAATTTTATTGAACTGGATTTCTGTACTGCCTATGATCTCTTTAGTTGTGGGCATCAGTTTAGAGACAATCTACTAAACACAAATATCTGTTTCCCAATTGCTCCCTAACTTGAATGTATGAAAATAGGTCAGCATTGTTAGTTATTACAAGATCCAATGCAAGCTTCTATTCCAGTTAGTGCTTCTACTAAAAGTGTAATTTAACAGGTTCAAAAATCTGTTTCCCTTAATTGTTCTACTGGAACTCTCTGCCCAGGTAATGTCTGGATAATGAAAATTTCCCAAACTTAAGCAATTAGCTAGATGTGAAGCCCTATTCATTTGAGATAGTAGTTGCTTTTCTCAATCAGTATTAATGTTTGGGGATTGGTAACATATTCCTACTATTAATGAAGCCCCTCTTTTTCATCCTATGCAAATTTCTACCAATAAGACTTTCACATCCTCATGTGTATCATCATCACAAAACATTTTGTTTACACTTTACTTCAATTCAGTATTGATCTATAAACATACATATCCCTCTTTTCTATCTATTTTTTTTCTATCCTTCCTAAAAAAAAATTGCATATCCATTCAAATTAACGGCCCAATCAACTGTTTGATCCCAACTAATTCTCAGTAATCCAAATTGTCATACTGTTCCTTGTATGCCAATATACTAAGATCCCCATTATGTTACATAAGCTTCTTGCATTAGCAAAACCACAAATCTCCCATCACCCTCCCCAATAACTCAGTATCAGGAGCAGAACTAATTTTTAATCCACTCACTCTTGCTTTTATACAATTTTCCCATGCAAGGGAGACACCGACAAATAATTAAGAATCAGCCAATCAATAGATGGATACAATACACATATTCCCTCACCTCAGCATGAGAGATAACTTAATTATGTTAATTTACAATAAGTTGTAAAAAAAATTTTCCTCACTTCTTGGATGTACCCTAAAACCATAACATACACCCATAATTAATCCCCTGATAGCCCCGATCTGGGTAAACAACATACTAAAATATCACCCAGATCGGTTCAGGGGTTCGCCAATTTTTACCGACCGCACATGAGTTGTATGCCCAAAATAGTTCCACACGAAAGGGCTGTTTGGTCGGTCTTTGTTCGAGTAGCCAAAACATACGAAATTGCAGGGCTAGAGTGTTCATGACTTAGTTTGACATAATCCCCTCGTCCGTATACTTATTCTCAGAGAATATTGCTCTGTTTGGGTGGGCTTTGACGAACTTCCATGATGTTGGAGGTTTTAGCGGTGTTCGTGCCGTCGAGTGTCTGATTTGGGTTCCAGACACTCGACGACCAAACCCTGCTGGTGTCATTTGTATGCCAAGATGGCCGCCGCCAGGTGTTCGTCTATACAAACGACGGCCACCCTGAAGATCACACAGGGGTTCAGGCATTTGCGGTTAACCAGATATGCAGAAGGTTAATAGGGTCAATTGGTTAATAGGGTCAATAGGGTCAATCCCCTCGTTCGTATACTTATTCTCAGAGAATACTGCTCTGTTTGGGTGGGCTTTGACGAACTTCCATGATGTTGGAGGTTTTAGCGGTGTTCGTGCCGTCGAGTGTCTGATTTGGGTTCCAGACACTCGACGACCAAACCCTGCTGGTGTCATTTGTATGCCAAGATGGCCCCCGCCAGGTGTTCGTCTATACAAACAACGGCCACCCTGAAGATCACACATGGGTTCAGGCATTTGCGGTTAACCAGATATGCAGAAGGTTAATAGGGTCAATTGGTGCCACAGTCCCCTCCTGGGTGGCTGGGTTGTTCGGTACTTTGTTCTTTTGTCAAACCATATTATGTAATCCAATATAACTGTCATTAGTACCGAACAACTAAACGAAATATCACAGGAACACAGTGTTGCAATGGAGGGATACAATAAAACAGAACAAAATACACACACAGCGGTATGTACCAAAAAGGGGTACTGAACTACAGTCCATTCTGCTACAGGCTCAATTCCTCCTACTCCACTAAATACCCCTCTAAACTCTAGTTTAACAGTAAGTCTTTTTACAGATGGTCAGTCCTTCTCAGTATTGCAATTTCCTTTTCCAGATCTCCAGTCTTCCAGGTAAGCCAGTCTCTCACATTTGTCACAGAGGTATGTACCTGGAAAAGACTCTTCATAGATAAGACATAGATAAATATAGCAGACTGTGCCTCAAGTAAAATTTTAAATCTTACAACTGCTAATACTTGCCCTATTAACACAACAACCTCCTCTGGGTTCAAACTCCAACTTAAAGATATACTACTTTAAGATCGACTAACAAAGAGACTCTTAGTGAGCAAGCTCCATGGCTTACATAAATGCACACACAGCCACACATGTGAAAATTATTGAACCACTCCCTTAATGAACACAGGTCTTAGGACGTGTTATTACGTCCCGATTGTCATTATCTTTAACGATGTTACAGCATAATGACACATCCTAACAACTGTGTCCCTGGAAAAAAATAGTACATGGGGGAACTGTCTGTTTCCCTTCAATTCAATTACACTACTGTCAACTCTAGATCGCAGGCTCGATGCCTCGCATCCTAGTTGTTCTCTGACTCCAACCACTACTTCACCTCTCATGACCAGTCAATCGTCAAATTCTTGCACTTCCATCTCAAAAACACAGTGTCCATTTGCCCCTTTTTAACACTGGACGCAGCTAAGGTGCTGACCTATGCTGCTATCCTCTCTCACCTTGACTAATCAGTGGTCTTAAATGTTCCCAACTTGCCCTGTCACAGTCTGTAATGAATGCGGCGGCGAGGATCTTCTTTCTTTCCACACGCACCTTGCACATCTCCCCCCTGTACCAGTCCCAACATTGGCTTCACATAAGTTATAGGATGCAATTAAATTAAATTAAAATTCATAACACTGCTCCTACCTATCCTCCCTAATACAAAGTATGTCCCATCCAGGCCCCTACACTCTGCCTAAGACCTTTGTCTATCCTCTTTTCATACTCTCACATCTGATGCTCACCTTCAAGACTTCTCTAGGGCTGCACCATTCATATAAAACTCCCTTCCCTGCTCCATAAGACTCTGACCCAAACTCATTCCTTCAAAATATCATTGAGAACCCACTTCTTCATGAAAGCATATCAATTAAACTAATAATACCTCTGCCTGCCCGCAACTTTCTCTCCAGCAACTGTCATACAAAAAAAAACCTACTTTTCTTTTTTTTTTCTTTTTTTTATATTTCTTTCTTGAAAATTTTCTCAAAATTATTTAATACATAACATTTAAGACAGACAAAAAATAGACAAACAATTGATTATCTTATATTTGGGCACCTAGGTTATAATTACATCAATTTGTTTATATATATATATATATATATATATATATATATATATATATATAGTTACGTGCCCAAATAGTGATTTTAACTAAGGATGTATAGAAAACAAATACAATCCATAAAACAAAACAAACATTTAAAGGGACACTCCAGTGCCAGGAAAACAAACCGTTTTCCTGGCACTGCAGTTACCCTCTCCCTCCCACCACCCACCCCATTTTGCTGTAGGGGTGAAAACCCCTTCAGTGACTTGCCTGAGACCCCCGCCGATGTCCCTCGGTGGTGGTTTCGGGTCCACCCATGCTCCTCCCCCGCCGACGTCATCCGGCAGGGGAGACCGATCGCGCATGCCCGGCTGCCAGAGGGGGAGACCTAATGCGCATGTGCGACAATGCCGCGCTTGCATTGGACCTCTCCATAGGAAAGCATTGAAAATGCTTTCAATGCTTTCCTATGGGGCATTGAGCGACGCTGGAGGTCCTCACACAGCGTGAGGACGTCCAGCGACGCTCTAGCACAGAAAACCTGTGCTAGAAACCAGGAAGTGCCCTCTAGTGGCTGTCTAGTAGACAGCCACTAGAGGAGGAGTTAACCCTGCAATGTAATTATTGCAGTTTATGAAAACTGCAATATTTACAGCTGCAGGGTGAAGGGTAGTGGGAGTTGGTACCCAGACCACTCCAATGGGCAGAAGTGGTCTGGGTGCCTGGAGTGTCCCTTTAATATTTAATAATATATATTTGTTTAGTGCCAAGGGAGACAGGAGACTTATTCCAGGAATCGGTCAAGAGAGGAGAAAGGGAAGGAAGGAGAAAGGGAGATAGAGCAAATAAGATTAATTTTTCCCGCCTCTGTTAATATGGATACGCATATACTAATATGTGTATGCGATTGCACACAGACTTAAATGCATATCTCTAATCCCTCCCCTCCCCCATCCACCCTCAGGTTGTCAGCTTGCCTAAAAAATACTAAATTATTGACTTCTCAAGAGCTCAACAAAATTCATTAACTTTTCAGATGGACTGATGTAATTTATACCTCTATTTGCAATAATATTTCAAGTCCAATAAGTCTCCTTAAAGGACCACTATAGTGCCAGGAAAACATACTCGTTTTCCTGGCACTATAGTGCCCTGAGGGTGCCACCACCCTCAGGGTCCCCATCCCGCCGGGCTCTAGGGTGAGGAAGGGGTTAAACTTACCTCTTTCTCCAGCGACGGGCGGGGAGCTCTCCTCCTCCTCTCCGCCTCC